TTGCATAAAACTGACCAGACACATTCAATTTACCAGACTATTGAACAACTAGGAAAAGTGAAAAAAATACTTCTTATCGCCAGCATAAATGCGTAATTATTTTTTTTACAGAAAAAGTAATTTTTCACCTTTGATTAAGTCAGGGGTCATAGAATGCAGATACGGGCATGGCAAACACACCTTTGTAAAGCTTGAAGTCTGGCGATTCTAAAAATATATACTTTCCTGGGTCTATTTGTAGTCATTTGGTCACAATTAGAAGATGAGAACAAGTATGCAAATAATAGTCCCGCTACCTTAACTCAGCAGTGTTACTGCAATATTCAGTCTCAGGTTTGGCTGAGAATTTTGTGCTGTTCTTGTTGTTTTTACCAGTGTATACATCATTTGAACCGATCACTGAGTTCATGGCCAGATGGTGTACACATTAACCAATCATTGAGAAACACATGTTTCCATTGTTTGTCGCTGTCCTGATTTCCATCCATGTTTGGTCTTTCGGCTGCAGATCAAATGCTAAAGAGTAATGGCTTAATTACCATAAATTACCGCCCAAAATTAGCTGCCTCATTTATTTGTTATATTTTTATTATTTTATTTATTTCCTGAATTTTGATCCTGCTTATTAACGAATATTTTAGTCTGTATTGTTGAATTAATTACTTTTGTTGGTTTTACCCCGCTATATATTCTCAGCTGTGAAAAAAATAGCACACTTATTAAGAACCATGATGTAAGGTACAAACGGAGAGAGCCATGACACTATTGTTTTAGCTTTACCCCATGATCGTTTGTCAATGTTTGTTCACAAACATTGTTCTTGTTAGCTTTTAACACCTTCGTACAATGGGTTCTGCTAATCTCGAGCATTCGGTAATATTCGGAGCATGTTCGGTAGCAATAGACGAACTGCGCATACACAAAATTGAAAATGACGTCTCGTTGGAATGTTGTTGTTTCCGGAGATCTTGGCGAATTTTAATGAAAAATTGGCAGATATAACATCGATTGAAGAAGAACTGATGAACTATTGTGAATCTTTTTGTATTTGTAATGGTGTTGAGACGTAATTAATGATTGCCTGTGACAATAACGATTGCATTATTCAATGATACCATCGTCAGTGCGTGGGTTTGACGCCCGAAACTGTTTGCCTAGACACTTTCTCCTCGATAATATTTTTTAGGAGTTCTTAGGAATTTTTGTTGTAGACGCTCAAAATCTTGTTCTTGTTACAATTGCTAATAATGAAATCTTTGAAATCAAACGTTCATGTGTTGAATTTCCAGTGGTGAAATACGTATTTTGACCTTTCACACATAAACAAACGGAGTGCGCATGTATGATGACCGTAGTTACATAAGCCAGTTAAGAGGCTTAAGGCTCCTTCTGTTAGTACCTTCCATGTTAAGAACAAACTAATGTATAATTATTAATGCATTGCATATTAATCATTCATAATTATATGATAAGTATGGTAACACAGTACATAACTCGATGTGATTGATTCATGTCAGGATACAGATTTGAAAACCAAATATTGACTTTGCAAACAACATTTTTGTGCTTTTGAGAGAAGCCTATGTGTGAAAACCACATGTTAATGTAAACAGTCCAACTGTATGTAGGATGACTATCTGTCTGACGTTTGTTTGTTGTGTGAGGTTTACTCTGCCTTAACACATGATAATCTCCTGATTTGCAATCAGTATGGCAGCATTCACAGTCCAAACAAGATTCAGTAGAAGGACTGTTTACAAAATGTGATCATTCCTTCATATCAAAATGTTTGTTTCTGATAGGTTGTCAATCCTCATATGGTCAAGTTTACTGTATGTTGTACTGAGCAGAAACTGTATTTCATTTTTGAGAAATTTGCAACTATTTTCCTATCATTAACACAGCCTGATTTGGATTTCACATTCTGTGTGCATGTTGACCATGAAACCCTTGTCAAACATGAAGTTGTGGAACAACTCTAATTCTTAAATTTAAATTCTCCATCTGCTTTGGCCCTTTAGTTTATATCATGGAAGATAAAAAGATTTGCAGCAAGATTTGTTGTCATGTTTGAATTGAGCCGACCCGAATATTAATTATTCACGTAATCGCATTACGGGATTGTTTACCAAGTGAATAAATCGAAACGATCATCGAACAAGGGAGAACAATAGCGTCCTATCTCCTCTCTTTTTACCTTCCATGGTTTATATCGTATAATTTAATTACATTGTCCATGTATAACTCACAGGGGATTAAAAAGTGAAAGTATATTGGCGAACTCAGATAAATTGAAAAAAAATGATGACAAGAATACTGTATATAATTCCATATTTTTGCATATGATGAGTGTGCATCTGTGGGATTCCTAAATATTGCTGGTTGTGTGACAATCATACTCTCTTACAATAACCAATAAAAAGAACTCTTTTATTGTTGTAATTACTGTTGTATTAAATGTATATTTGAGATGTGTCAAAATAATTGTGACTAGAAGACCCTGTAATGTGTGTGTATGCATGTGTCAATTAAAGGGAAAAAACAATATAGAATCTGGAGTTGCCCATTGCATTAGGAAAATCATTTTCAAATAAAAATACTAACCAGAAATATTTTTTAAAAAGAAGTAACTGCTTGAAGAAAACAAGTATTGTTATAAAACTTCACGTTCCTTTATGTCTCGTGTGTTTGTGTTGGTGCCGTTTGAAAATTGCAGATATTTCCTATGTTATTTCATAAGCTCCGGATTTACTAGGGCCTATGGCTATTCATATTTACTCTATGAGAAGCACATTTTTAATAGAAGTGCATGTAAACCAACAGTAGCATAATTGTATATTGAATCAATAGCGGTACTCATTTATGTAAACTATGGTATAATAAGGTGTTTTTTTTTTTAATTTGTCATTGAAACTTGTTGTTCTTTTCACTTAGAATTTAAAGTCCAAGTTCCAAATTAGGTTATGTCTATAAAACTTATTACACTTGAGTTATGATTTCTTTACTTCCTCTTCACTCTCTTTAGTTTGATTTCTCTAATCATTAAAATTGTCAATGTTTTTAACTTTTTTTTGTCTCTAACTCTGTTTTCATCTTTTAGGTGTTTATGTTTCGCGTTATTCTGACTTGATCCAAAGAAATATGTTACCTGCTGGACTCGAAGCTGTCCTCATCATCTTTAAACTTATGAAGGTATATACTTCTATTATATCAAATTCTTTCTTACTTTCTAACTTGATTAGTGGTTGAATTGGTGATGTGGACTAGAAAGTAATGAAGCTCATTGTCAGTAGGGGCATGGGTTTAAATAATGACAACACCTCCCCCATTTCCCCTGCCACCCCCAGTAGTAGTAGTAAAGTTTTTTATCTGAGATGGGAATCTCAAACTTTCTTAGCCAAACCTGATTGCCCATGGCTATATACTGGCAATCCAAAATTCACATTACTAAAGTAATAACAATAAAAAACTTCAACAAAACTGAAAATAATATACTCTTTAATAAGACAAATTTATGTCTTCTTCTTTGGTACACAGACCGCCAAAAAAAAGAAAGAGCTATTGGGGGAAAAATACAGCTGAGAGCCTATTAGCACACTCCCTGCTGTAGTCTCCGTGGATAGCCAAAGTGAATTAGAAATAAGCGCTGTCAGTAGACAATGTACTGTGTTATGTATGGTCAACATAAACATGACTAGTATAGCATAGATTGCTTGCCGAGTACAGACTTCTGCTTTAGACAACTACAAGTCATGTGCCTAACTCAGAGCCATCGACTGTCGTTGACATGTGAAGACAATGTCTTTCTGCTATATTGACAAACTGCAGGAAACGTTCTCCTCACAAACTACACACCTACTGAAAAATACACTATAGATAACTGTATATGTTAAGGCAGCAGGATGTGGCCATACAGAAATGAGAAAAATAAATTTATTAAACTCTGCTACTTTTGAAAATAGGAAAAATAAATAAATGTTGTTTTATCACTGTTGGACAACTAAAGATAACTGGGTCACTGTAAAGCTAAACCTGGTATGCTTTGGGTGCATTGTTGATGACCCCTGATCTTTTTTGCTTGACAGATGGATTTTGTTCAAACTTGGTATATACATTACACATGGGATCTTGATGCAAATAATTTTGTTTTTCAGATTAGATTCAAAATGGCCGACTGGTGGCCATTTTGTTTTAATGAATTTGGTTCTCGTGCCATATGTCTGACTTGCTTTCACTGATTATGTTCAAATTTTAAATATTCATTATACATCATGTCATAGATAGACAGATATATTGGTTTGACGATCCTATTCAAATTGGCCAAATGGTGGCTATTTTTGTGCTAAAATAATCCTCAAATATCAAGCAGTTCTTGCATTTATGGATGGATTTTGTTCAAACTTATAACATACACTAGACATTACAGGTTTCTGATACACGTCATTTTATTTTTCAGATTGGATTCATAATGGCTGACTGGCGGCCATTTTGTTTTAATGATTATGCTTCTAGAGCCATATCTCCTAAATGCTATATATATATATATATATGTATTCAAAATGGCTGATTTTGAATGCTGTTCCAGAGCAATATCTCTCAATATGGACAAGTACTTGTTTGACGATCAGATACAAATGTCAATCATTTTAATGTTAAAAAATCATATTCCTGACATGGTTATATTCCAGCTATATTACTATAAACAAAACTATATATCTTAAATTTGATAACTAACGGGAACTGTGCCATGCATGCATGTTCTTCACAAATTCACAAAATAGTCCTGTTTATAGTCTGCACTTTCCTTCAAAAGATAAGGACAAAAATAGCCTAATTAAATGTGAAAATTTGCTCAAATTCATTCACAAAAATACTGAAGAATATTAGAAAAGCGTGCAGAAAAAATTAGGTGACAAGTCTAGATGTGATAAGGTTAATAAAGTACCGTAAAATTTGTATTAGAAGCCCCAGTCACACCCATTCGTTTTAAACAATTGAGAACCAAAAATTCACTGCATTCCCTCTGTTGTATCAAACCATTTTAATAGAAGCCACAGCTTCTAATACAGATTTTACAGTACCGTAAAAGCTCAATCAATTCGGCCACTCAAATAGTTCGGCCACCTATTTTTTGCGTCATGGTTAATTTTAAAATGTATCCGCTTAGTTCGGCCATCTGTCCAGTCAGTCTATTGTTTGTATTCAATTAGTTCGCCCGGTGATGACACCGCCCGGTTTTTACGCCACTCTCTCAACAAAGGTATATTTTCACACATCTATCACGTAAATACAATGTACATGTATAAACATTTACATCCATGGTATAAGCAATCGGGATATCCGCCAGATGTGCAGTCATGGTGTCAACCGTGG